CTCCTGACCTCAGGTGATCCACCTGCCTCGGTCTCAAACTCCTGACCTCAGGTGATCCACCTGCCTCGGTCTCAAACTCCTGACCTCAGGTGATCTACCCACCTCAGCATCCCAGAGTGCTGGGATTACAGGCATGAGCCACTGGGCCCGGCCTGCATTAGGTATTATAAGTAATCTAGAGATGATTTAGAGTAAAGTATATAGGAGGATAGGTGTAGGTTATATGCAAATACTATGCCTATTTATATGAGGGACTTGAGCCATCTGTGGATTTTGGTATCTGTGGGGGGTCCTGAACCAAGCCCTCACAGATCCCTAGGGAGAATGGTAACTCTCGTAGGAGAATTGAGTAGGTGGATCCTTCAGGTTTAAATCACCTATCTGGCCTATTGGGCAATACCTATTTTTTGGGATCTGTTTCCTACCCAACGCTGTGGGGGAAGTGAGGGAGTGGAGAAAGAGAAAAACCTCATTAAGGGCCGGGTGTAGTGGCTCACGCCTATAATCCCAGCACTTTGGGAGGCCGAGGTGGATGGATCACAAGGTCAAGAGATTGAGACCATCTTGGCCAACATGGTGAAACCCCATCTCTACTGAAAATACGAAAATTAGCTGGACATGGTGGCGTGTGCCTGTAATCCCAGCTACTCAGGAGGCTGAGGCAGGAGAATCGCTTAAACACGGGGGGCAGAGGTTGCAATGAGCCAAGATCGCACCACTGTACTCTAGCCTGGCGACAGAGCAAGTCTCTGTCTCCAAAAAGGAAAAACAAAACAAACCTCATTAAGGCTGCTTTTCTGCCCTCCAGGAAGGAAGGATCGCCCCTGAAATGTACTTAAAATATCTTTGGTAAGCACTTCATCAAGGGCTCTCATTTGAGCCTCGAAGCAACTCTCCAAGATAAAGGGTATCATCTCAATTTATAGATGAATAAGGAAGTTTATCCAGAGACAGGGGACTTGTCAAGGTCACAGCCAGCCGAGTGCAGCATCTGGGCTTGAACCCACCTCTATCTAACTGCACAGCCCTCTTTTCCTGCACTTCCTTCTCCTAAGAGATTCACGGGTCTTGGTGGTTCTCATTCTCTGTGACTAGTGGAATGTGTACGTAGGGTTTGTTTTCCATGCTTTAGAATGAACATTCCCGAGAGGGGACTTTTTTCAAGTCAACATTCTCTGTTCAAAAGGATGTTGCTTTTTTCAGTTTTACTTTCTAGTCTACACCCTCTAGCCCTGTGGTCTTTCATCTGTTCCAAAAGAAGGCCATTTAGAAAACCGTGTCAGAGTGGTTGCAGAGGCAGGCTCAGTGTTGACAGTTGTGATCGGCTCAGTTAGGTGTTTATTGTCGGCTGCTCGCTGAACATAAACTCCTGAAGCTTGAGAGGGTGGCCTCTGGATAGAATGTGATTCCATGTATTCATTTAGCAGACGGTTGTCAGGCACCTGCAGCTGACAGGCAATGTGCTAAGTCTTAAAGAATGCGAGGTGGATCTGATGGGGCGGGTACCCGTCTTCTGGAAATGCTAAGGCTGGTGGGGAAAGGAGTCAGTTCAACCAGACCTTCGTCATGGCGGTATAAGGGTTACCCAAGAGGGAGAGATGCATTTAGGAATATAGAAGGGGAGAACCAAGCCGGCTGTTTTATAGACATCTGTTCCTTGGGAATCTGAGGCCTTTTATAGCTGTGTGCAATGGGTGAGTTCCGCTCTGTTAGGGAGGCACCATGTGGGTTTATCTTTCTTTCCACCTATAGTCAGCGTGACACCTATGTTAGGAGGTGGGTAGAGATGAGGTCTTAGGGTCCATTGGTTTTTTAACTACTTTGTAGGTTTCACGATTCCCTGGTCAAATATTCAGGTGAAAGATCATGGGCCGTCCACTGTGTCTGCACTGACCTGCTCCCTCTTCCGGTGATACATCACGGCCAGTCTGCTGCCATGGTCTGAGGATATGCCCTCCCCAGGCTATCTGTTTGTTCTTATCCCTTCTCTGCATGTTTTAATGGTTTCTGTGATTCTCTGGACCTCTTCTTCCGTGTTGAAGGTGGAAGCTATGAAGACGGTCCCTAGTGAGTGTGTTCAGCTGTGATTAGGGTACAGTCCCATGCAGATGGAGGTGGTGGCCTCTGCCATCTCCTTGCCTTGCCATGTGCTCTTTAGTCCATACCAGTGCCTTTCTCAGTCTCCTCTGCCCAGAATGCTGGAACCGCTCTGCCATCTTGACCACATACAAGGCAGTCAGTACCTTTATCTGCCCTTCCAGAGTGGTACATGCAGATCTCAGCTTGGGGTTCTCATAGATCTTTTCTGTTGGGCTATCTCATTAGACTGCACTTTTTGAATCCATCTTCTCTTCTAGTATTCTCTCTTTTTTTTTTTTTTTTTGAGATGCAGTCTCGCTCTGTCCCTCAGGCTGGAGTGCAGTGGTGCAATCTTGGCTCACTGCAACCTCTGCCTCCCAGGTTCAAGCGATTCTCGTGCCTCAGCCTCCTGAGTAGCTGGGATTGCAGGCGTGCCACTGTGCCCGGCTCATTTTTGTATTTTTAGTACAGACGGGGTTTCACCATGTTGACCAGCTGGTCTTGAACTCTTGATCTCATGTGATCCACTCATCTCAGCCTCCCAAAGTGCTGAGATTACAGGCGCAAGCCACCGCGCCCAGCCTGTTCTAGTCTTCTTTTGAAGCATAGCATGTGGTTCGTACATGGTACATAATAGGTGCTAACTAAATGCTCCTTTAAGTATGTTAGTTCAGGTCTCAAAGTTAACCTATACTATAAAGTGTGCATGTGTATGTGTGCATGCGTGTGTATGCGTGTGTGTGAGAGAGAGATCTCACAGTTTTTGTCATTTACTTATTTATTTATTGTCCCAGTTTTGCAGACTGCGAGACTGTAGCATCATCTCTTGGGATGAAAGGTTAGCAGGAAGCCTAGATCCGTCAAACCCCTTTCGGGATCTATGAGATATTTCTCTTCCGTAACTTACATCCATCTCCAGTGCTAAGAACTCAGGCCTTCCTCTTTGCTCTTCCTTTCAGAAAGTATTATGAGGGAGGCCGAGGACTTCATGCTCCGGACAGAGAAACGGCTCTGGGATTAGGGATTGCCACTTCCGAGAGGATGCTGGGAATCTGCAGGGGGAGACGGAAATTCTTGGCTGCCTCGTTGAGTCTTCTCTGCATCCCAGCCATCACCTGGATTTACCTGTTTTCTGGGAGCTTCGAAGGTAAGAGTGGAAGCCAAAGTGAGAGGGAAGGAGGGAAGAAAGGGAACATTAGCTGTCACAGAACCCTAGCAAAGAAACTGAAAGCCATCTATTGGGAATGTGGATTTCCAGTCACGGGAAGTGACTTGTCTAGGGTCATACGGGTAGTTGGCAGCAGTCAACAATGTGAGGAGAAAAAGGGAAAAACAAGCAAAATAAGGCATACCTTGATGCGGTGGGAGGGTAGTGGGTACAGAAATGTCAAATCAAGTCAATTACTTTGTAGATAATGGGGGAAAAGGTTGGGCCCTGGAGAAATTACTCAGCTATTCATGGAGCCATATGTTTCAAGAGTTGGTCCATCTTTTCATTCATTCATTCACCCATTCAACATCGTGGTGGTGGTGGTGTTTTTTGTTTGTTTGTATGGTTTTTTTTGTTTTGTTTTGTTTTGTTTGAGACGGTCTCTCGCTCTGTCACCAGGCTGGAGTGCAGTGGTGCGATTGTGGCTCTCTCCAACCCCCGCCTCCTAGGTTCAAGCGATTCTCCTTCCTCAACCTCCCGAGTAGCTGAGGACTACAGGCGCCTGCCACCAAACCCAGCTAATTCTTATAGTTTTTGTAGAAACGGGGTTTCACCATGTTGGCCAGGATGGTCTCGATCTCTTGACCTTGTGATCTGCCCACCTTGGCCTCCCAAAGTGCTGGGATTACAAGCGTGAGCCACCGCGCCTGGCTGTGTGGTTGTTGTTACTGGATGCCTGCACTAAACTTGGTGCGGAGAATATGGAGATAACAGATCTGGAGATTCACAGGATAGTGGAGGAGATAGATAGGCTAACAAACCGTCGCGGCACGTTGCGATCTGCGTTGTGATGGAGGAAGGCAGAGTGCTGTGGGAGAGGGTTGTTGGAGCTGTCAGGCCTGGGCTGGGGATGAAAGATGATCAGTTACATGATAGGCCGAGCACAGGGAGGCAACAAAAGATTTGCTCTCCCCAAAGAAATAAAAACAAATGATGATCCCTGCTACTTTCCAGAAATCAGTGGGAACAACAAGACTCGTCATTTTTCTAGCCAGCAATTTCAAATACAGTGCAATGTGTTGCCTATCAAAGATGGTTTTCTAGGCTTCAGAGAGAGGGGGAACGGCAGTGGTGAAGAGCTTACTTTATTTTTATTTACCCCCACACTTGAATTTAAGAATGAAGATCTCAAATGAAAATCTGTCTCAAGGAAGTCACAACTGTGTTTTTAAACGTTTCCTTTATGCATAATTTTATTGGCAGCTCAAGGCTACCTTTTAATTAGGATCTCCACTTCACTTTCTGAGATTTGCCTTGAGTTAGCTAGACTGAATATAAACAAGGTGGAACCGTGTGCCTGCCTAGCAGGGAGGGCTCAGGATGCTCAGCCCAGGGCTGAGGCCGGGTGACACACCCCTGTCCCTGTTCCCACCCCTGAGCTGCATCCCTAGAGCAGTCAGAACCTTCATCTAAGCAGGTAGATAGAGTCAATTATGCCATGGCAGTGGATGGTAAGTTTGTGGAAAAGGGACTAAAGAGTAGGGAAGGGAAGTTGATGTTGTTCTTGATATAAAGAAACATTCTCCCAGAGATCATGGAAAAGCCCTTTTTATAAAAGAAGGCAGAGGTACCCATGCTAGTATAGGTTTAATGAGTAAAACATTGACTTTTAACTAACTAAGCTGGTAATAATAATAATGGTGTAACAATGACTATGATGACAGACACTGTGATTCTGTCATCACAGTGATGACGACAGTACAAACAACTAGTATTTTGCGTATTTCTACAGGCCAGGTATTGTTATAAGGACTTTTACATGTGTTCACTCTTTCTTCACAATGATTCCTTGTGGCAGGTACATTTAATAACACCTATTTTACAGATGAGGAGGATGAGGCAGATAAGCTTCAGTGATCTGCCCATGGCCCCAAAGGCGGTCAAGATGGAGCCCGGATTGAACTCAAGAGCTTGAGTTTTTAACTGCAATACCATGCTATAGATTGGGGCCTCAATGAGTGATTAAACTTTGGTCAGGGATTTGACAGGGTATCACATAGTCTGGGTGAGGAAAGTTGCAGAATTTTGATTTGCACTCTTTGGCAGAAAGCCAACCCAAATTGATTTTTGGTGAAAAGGGAATTTGATAGTTAATAGGATTTGTAAGTTCAGAGATAGGGCAGGCTTCAGGCAGAGCTGGATCCAGGGGCTTTGTAGCTAGATCTCTGTCTATCCCTTTGTTCTGTTTTTCTCTGCCTTGGTTTTTCTCAGGGTGACGTTATCTACATGGAGGAAGTCTCAGGTTTGCATCCTGTCCTCACCAACCCCAGTAGAAAGAGGATTTTTTCCTTTTTCTAATTCCCTAATACTGCCTCTGTTGCCTGTGGTAACTCCTGAAACCAGTCACTGCGGTTATGGGAGGGTAGTGAGGGAGGCTGGTACTTTTTTGTTAACTTGAAGCCCTGTGCCTATTTCTGGTCACAGGATGATGGAGAGTTGCTTAAAACACATGGGGTGAGATTGGGTGACTGGGATGGCCACCAAAGGCAAATGGCATGGTTTCCCAAAGAGAAGAGATTAGAAGTTGATCTGGAGTATGGACAATTCGTAACTGTCTGTATTTATGGTTAGATGTGTTTATGGTCAGTTTGAAGGCAGCTTAGAACCATCATGACCAGTGGAGTGACTGCGATCACTAACTGAGCAATTGGACCAGACTGGCAGATGGATTATGGGAAACTGGAAAGATCATGAAAATACTTTGAGGCAGCATGACAGACTGGGTGTAGATGCTGTATCTATCAACATGATCCTTTAGAATGAACCCCACGCTTGGGACCAAATCACAAGCTGCATTTAGTAGGGGCTGGGTGATGTGGGCATGTTAACACGGTATTTTAGCTAGGATGACAAAGGCAGCAGATTTCTGTTACTGAGTGTCAGTGTGCATTAGGGCTGCTGCATTTGTATTTGTGGACTCTACACTGTAAGGACAATCTAGATGAGGCAGCACACTTAGGAAAATCCAGGTGAGTGACAGAGCCTGTTCAAATCTGTTTATGTAAGAAATGGTGCGAAGAATTGAGGATGTTTACCTTGGAGAAGCAGAGGCTCAGGGTGTACATGCCCAGCTTCAGCAAATAGACAAAGGGCTGTCCCCTGAAAGAGACATTGGGATTGCTCTGGTGGCCCCAAACCTACGGAGGGACGTGGCAAGGAGCCAGATATCAAGCTCCTCATAATGAGGACCATTCTGTCCAGAGCTGGAATGAGCTGCCCAGGGGGTAGTGAAACACCTGGCATGAGAGATGCAGAAACAGAAGTCCAGTATCGTGAGAGGGAGTTGAGCGAGAGGGGCAGTTACACAAGGTGACCCATCTGACCCCTCCTGACCCAGAGATCCTGAGGCTCTGGGAAAGGCTGAGTATTTGTCAGAACACAAAGGCAATAATACCTCCATGAAGCTCCCTGCCGGTTGCCGCAGACATCAGTGCATTTCCCAAAGGGCCCGCAGAGACATTATTTTCTCTGTAATTAAACATCACAACAACGTTACAATCCATTTATTGACACCCTTGAGTTTTTGGTTCTGTGGCAGGTGAAGCCATAAATAAGGGGCAGAGTTGCTGCCTGTATTCATGGAAATACTATTCATACTTTACGTGGGTTTATTTATTTTTCGACTCTGTTTAATTTCAATGGATCTTCTGAGAGCAGAGCCAAGAACTCCCTCTGAGATGTGGATGCTCTCAGCATAGGGTTTTGGAGTTGGATTACACGCCACAGCGTGATATATTGAGAGAGCCCTGGAGGGGGTCAGCTGTCTCAGGATCTCAAATCAGCTCAGCCAGAGGAGCTGGGTGATCTGGGGCACACTTGCTCTTCATGCTAGGCCTTCTTTTCTTCCAGTGTGAAATGAAATTGTCGCCTGTCCATAGCAGGGCACTGACATTCTACCTACAAGCTTTTTTTTTTTTTGAGACAGAATCTCGCTCTGTCGCCCAGGCTGGAGTGCAGTGGCGCGATCTCAGCTCACTGCAACCTCCGCCTCCCGGGTTCACGCCATTCTCCTGCCTCAGCCTCCTGAGTAGTTGGGACTACAGGCACCTGCCACCACGCCCGGCTAATTTTTTGTATTTTTAGTAGAGATGGAGTTTCACCGTGTTAGCCAGGATGGTCTCGATCTCCCGACCTCGTGATCTGCCCGCCTCGGCCTCCCAAAGTGCTGGGATTACAGGCGTGAGCCACCGTGCCCGGCCTTCAAGCTTCTGATTCTAACATCTGATGTAAGTGAATTGAAAATGACCAGACTCTTCCCTGATTAAGGGGAACTATGACACTAAGAGGGAGTCAGTTATTGTGATTTGCTCCTGAGCGTGGAAGTAGAATCAATGCATAAATGTTATGGGGAGGCAGGCATTATCTCCCTGTAAGAAAAAACACCTGTTCCAGCAACTCAGTTGTCAGGCACGGAGTTCACCATCTGGGAAAGAGATGAGATTCCCATTCCTTGAGACACCTTTCGAAGGCCCAGTGACCACTGGTGAAGGACGCTCATCAGGTGATGTTTTTGTTAGTGCGTTAACCCCTTAGTTCTCAAACCCAACTCCTTGTTTTTTCTTTCTTTCCCAGTCCACCTTTCTTTCTCTGACACCTCAGTCAGCATTCCCAGCTCCACGCTGTTCAGGCCCTAAACTTGGGAGTAATCCTTGTCTCCCTTCATTCACTCCGTGTCTCGGATGCCACCTCCTGTTGAGTCTAAGCTTGGCCTTGTAGCTGCGTCAGTTGTTTCCCGGCTTTCACCACTGCTGTCGCCCTGGCTCTGCCATTCCTCCTTTGTGATTAGGACTAAACACAACAGCCCACTTTCTTGCAGGTCACCTTCGTTCTTCAGAGTCCTCAGAGCTAAATCACAGCACCTCTCTGCTCCTTCTCAGCCCCTCTGGCCCATCGCCTAACCCCCACCATCCTGCCTCCCATCATCTGGCATCCTCTGC